CAAGGCCTCTATGGGGCTAGCCATCCCCATCCTTGAGGTATTCCCACCCCACCCCAGGCCAGAAAATATACATATTTTCTCTAAATATTAAGGTTTATTATTGCATTAAAATCAAAGTGCTCAGTTTTGATGGCGGGCACATAAAATCCTGCCATAAATTGGTGAATATTGTTCCTTAAATCCCATCAAATTTATGTAGCCCTTCTCACAAAAAGCATAGCCTAAAACTAACCAGAGAAAAAGAGAAAAATCCAAATTAAATGTTCTGCAAAAATGCAACTAAAACATTTTTCTTTAGCAGCTTTGGTTTCTTTAAATTCAGAGTGCCTATGCCTCTTTCTAACTGGGAACCAAAAATTGTGTTAGTTTCTGTTAGCCTTTAACAGCGGACACGCAATGTTGTTGCCGTGAGCCATAATTAGATGATCTGCATGCAACACTGTTCAATAGATAGTATACAGGAGAGTATTGTTATTTTGGTATGCACTTATGAATATATTTGAATACAATATATACGCCATAGCATTTAGTATTTAGAAGCATCTCATGTGGTCATGTGAAGGAATTAGCTACTGAGAACAGATCTTTTATGGTGTTTTTTTTACTGGCTGACATTTAAGAGCAGAAAACTTGGTGATGTGATTTTGAAGTCTACCAAAACTAAGGATGGGGAGAAATGTGTTTACCTGGCATTAGAAGGTGAACTGATCTAATTTCTCATTTTTTGCATAGCCTGATATTTAATTGTCCTTTGAAATCCACAGTTCCCAAACTTTCGCAACGTAGCTTGCCTGAAATGAAGAAATCCACCTTGAGATGTAAGATTTACATTTTCTGATGTAAATCTACTCTCCCTTTGCATGCAAACTCACGTCCCATCCCACCATGGGTTCCATCTGAAAGCCAGATGTGGATGTCAGAATTTTGCAATGTGGATTTTGGTCTACATGTTTTGCTTCTTGACCTACAGAGAAGAAATTGGAAGATGAGGTCAGCAGTAACAATTGGTGTAGGACGTGAATTTGTGGGCTACATCTGAGTTTCTCAGCGTGCTTCTTTTGGTCACTAGGACCCTCAACAAGACTTTTAGCTATTCTTGCTCAAAAGATGGTTACCTATTCTTACATTAGATGATAGAAATGGAGTAAATGATTTTTTCTATACTGAGATGCTGATTTACGGTTGGGAAAAATTGGATTTAAAACACTTGTCCTCCCCTTCCCCCCAACATTCCCAGTTATGATTTTTCAAGTGGAGGTGGTAGAGACACAGTGCACTTAATTTAGCCCATATATTATTATTTTCCCATTACCAAGATATGATTAAAAATAAAAGAGCTTAACTTTTAATGAGTGGAATTTGGAAATGCTTGAAAATGTCCTACAAAGGATTGGATGTTGATAACAGTTGATTTCAGCTCCATCTTCTTCTTTCTTCCTGGCTCTCTCTAGATTTACCAAGATGAAGACAGCAACCAACATCTACATCTTCAACTTGGCTTTAGCTGACACCTTGTGCCTCATGACTTTACCTTTTCAAGGCACAGATACCTTCTTGGGCTCCTGGCCATTTGGAAATGCCCTCTGCAAGATTGCCATCTCCATTGATTATTACAACATGTTCACCAGCACCTTCACCCTGACTATGATGAGCGTGGACCGCTATATTGCCATTTGCCACCCCATCAAGGCACTGGACATCCGTACCCCCCACAAAGCCAAAGTAGTTAACGTTGGCATTTGGGCATTAGCTTCTGTTTTTGGCATCCCGGTCATGGTGATGGGCTCAACAGAGAAGGAAAATGATGGTGAGAAACATGAAACTAAGAATGTTGGGTTGGCTGTCTTTAATCTACAAAAACCTATGAACATAGTTCTGAATTTGGTGCAGGTTTCCCCAGCTGTGCCTAAAATACCTGATGTAAAAATACTAACATATCCCTTAATCTTAGTTCAGTCAGTAGACAGAAAAAAATTACATCACAGCTAAAAATTTAATAACAAGCTGGAGTACACTTTCTGCTACTTGTGTAGCTAAATACACACATACCTAATTATTCCAAAAAAATCCTCTTGAAATTTCAATTTTTTTTCCACACAAAGAAAATCCATTCCTTCCTTCCTTCCTTCCTTCCTTCCTTCCTTCCTTCCTTCCTTCCTTCCTTCCTTCCTTCCTTCCTTCCTTCCTTCCTTCCCCCCAAGCTATTTTCATCATGTGCCTGCAAGACACAGAGGGGCCATGCTTTCTTTCCTGTTTGTCAAGTGTGAAATAACTCTGACTAATCTTGAGCTTACATGGGGTTTGGCTGCAGTTTTAATACCACCCTTGACATATCACTCAGGTTTCCAGAATGATTTGGAGAATTAAGGGGATAGAGAAAATCAGTTTTGGTGCTCTTGTAAAGCCCAAAGCTTTGTAGATAAAAGTCTACAGAGGATTAGGCCTTGGGTAGGTTATTAGCTAAACATCATCCATGTGCGGCATTATCTGACTCAGAAGTAGACCTCTTCCAAATCAGGAGAGGACAGTGAGATCTACAGCAAGCCACAGTTCTCCAGAAATGATGACATGTGTGCAGTGATATCATTGCACAAACCCTGCCCTTACATACGTGTGCCCCAACATCTGATGCAAGTATGGAAGCCATGTTATTTGCATCATGATACTTCAGCATCTGTTCTGTCATTGGTCCCCCAGCCCCCAGTAGCCACTGTTGACCGAGATTCCTGGGGGTTGGGGAGATAAATAACAAAAGCATCTTCTGCCATCGCATTGCAAGCTCTTCTTCTTCGGTATGTGCATCCTGAAGTTGCACCCTGCAGGAACCTGATGGAGCTTGGGGTGTGAAGATGTGATGCTGCTTCCATGATTTTGATGGTCGTGCAGATGCTTATGCCTATGAGTAGAGTGCAAGTAGGAGAATTGCTTCCAGTGGCATCTGTAAGGGATAGTATCACAATCTGCACATGAACAAAAGGGGGGGGGCTTCAACTGCAATGCCACTACTGCAGATTTTGAGTCCCCCTCCCCATGGATGCCCATAATTGCTTCCTAGTGAACTTTATAGCCATACAGTCTCTAAAGAGATGGTTTACATGCAGCCACCGTAATAAGTAGACTTCGTGAGATTTGTCCTCCATGAAGGTTCTTCCTTCCAGAGCTAGTACCTTTCTGAATGATGCTACTACTATGGTTGAGCTAGGGCCCAAGCAGAGCTCACATAAGAGATTAGCATTCGTGGGCTGACATCAAGGTAGGAAAGGCAGGGCAGGCAGGATGGAGTGGGGATGATCCAGAAGACAAGGATCCAGGGTTTGACAGATCTAATGGCAGATTTGAGAATTGACTTTGCATCACATGGTGCTACTGCACCAATGTTCCATTTTGTTTCTCAGAAACCAAGTATGAGAAAGGCAGTATGAGAAAGGTTGGTGCTCCATTACTGAAGAAATAGCACCATCCCTTCCAACTATTCATTTGTGTTTCTTTGCTCCTGCAGAAATTGACTGTCTCATTAGACTTCCGGAACCTGAGGACTATTGGGAACCCATTTTTGGAATCTGCATATTTCTTTTCTCCTTCATGATCCCTGTGATGGTGATCACTATCTGCTACAGCCTCATGATCAGGCGCCTGAAAAATGTCCGGGTCCTCTCTGGATCAAAGGAAAAGGACAGGAACCTTCGGCGCATTGCTCGGTTGGTTCTTGTAGTGGTGGCTGTCTTCATTATCTGTTGGACCCCAGTCCATATCTTTGTCCTGGTCCGAAGTCTTGGGGCCAAGGCTGATAATGAGCTCAGTTTGTCCATCTTGTACTTTTGCACTGCACTGGGCTATGCCAACAGCTGCCTGAACCCCGTCCTCTATGCTTTCTTAGACGAGAACTTCAAGACATGTTTCAAGAAGTTCTGCTTCCCTTCAGCCTTTAGAAAAGAGCTGCAGATGTCCAACCGCATGTGTAGTATTGCCAAGGACGTGGCGTATGCGTGCAAGAACTCCGACGGGACTAACAACCCGGCATGACTAGGCGTGGAACTCCCCATGGTTCCTGTCAGTCAGCAGAGCCCAACAACACCCACGTCGGAGCTAACTCAGATAACGGCTCTTTGAAGGGCAGATCTCTTGACCCAGAAATGGAGACCCATGGGGAGTTAGAACATTTTAAAGCCTCACTCCCATCGTTCAGCAAAGTGAGTCAGCGGGAAGCAGAATTCACTGCTTCTTCTTCAACGATTGTATTTGGGTTTAACTCCCGGGATGCTTCCAGGTGACAGATTCCTGGAGTTTTCTGTTGAAAGACGCGCGATTATTCACTCTTTTCCTCCTTAACCTTGTGTGTGTGTGTGTGTGTGTGTGCATGTGTGTGCTTGCGTGCTCATGCAAGCATGCCTGTGTGTGTGTCTGTCCAGAAAAGACGCTCAAGAAGAGGAGGGAAAAGATGAGAAATGTACTGACAGAAGACCCTAATACTTGGACTCCATGTCAACGTCTGTAAATGAGACTGAGTAACGGTTGCCATTAACACCTTGTCTCGAAGCCTTCTTACATTCTATTAACACCATCGATTCTGCAAGTTTTGCACATGTCAAGCCAAGGCTACAGATTCACAGCAAACCTGGCTGCTCTGGGCGTCCTTGTCACCAACCTAGCAGCAAGGAACTGAAAAAGCGAAAGCGTGTCTATTTGCACACTTCAGTGGCTTTCCCAGATCTTCAGGCCTCGCCAATTGGAGAAATCTGCAGCACCAGGGGCCCTCCAGAACCACAATCCTCGCTGGAACCCATGGGCCAAAGGCAAGGGAGACACAGAAGAATTTCTTCAAGTTTGTTTTTCATGCTGTTTTCTGGACAACGGAGGCCCAGAGGGATTGGTCTCTTGCGTTGAATTGGCTTCATTTTTGAAGGCTACCATCTTCGGTGGCTGGGTCAGCTGGAACACGTTCTTTGGTATGAGAGTCCGGATCCAGAAATCAGCGACCCTTCAAACATTGATCGACAGTTGTACGCAGCTGCAGACTCCAGACCTGTACAGTGATCACGTGGGGGAAAGTAATTTCTTGTGCTGCTCTCTCTGCTTCACGAAAGATGCACGCACGTTTCTTCACCTGGAAGTACCCTAAAGTGAGAAATGAGAACGAGCATCTGACGTGGGAAGTGGAACAATTGCTACTTGTTGAGGCAGGCAACAACGTCAAGGCATAAAAACCAGGCATTCCAAAAGTGAGCGCAAGGGATGGCAAAAGACGAAAATGAAATTCTTCCCCCTGCTCTGAGCATCGGAGGACAACGCTTCTGAAAACTGACTTTTTTGCTTTTGAATCGCTCAGCGGATTCAGGGTTCCTGGCAGAAATCTGAGACGAAGCATTGAGCTAATTCAACCTTTTCAAGTCACTTTAGGCAAAAAGAACAAAAATTGCCAGTTCTTTGTGGGTGTGGAGGCCAAGAGGTGAAAATAGATAATTAAAGGTACTACGCTGACTCATGAGGACTCCTAAGCATCAGGTCTGGCAAAACAAGCCTGATTCCACTGGACTTAGTATTCCTTTCTAAATAGCCCCAACCCTCTGCTGTTTGTGGGGATTGTCCCCCTGTTCTACAGCTCCGAGTTTTGGAATTTGGAGGTAGACTTCCCCTGCACATGGAGGTTCTGTAGAGCTGGCATGCCAGCTTTCCGTTAGAGAAGTACACGCGTTGCAGATGATATTACAGAAGGAATGGGAATGGTATTTGTCTTCTCCCCC